AACAAGAAACAAGAAACAAGGAGTGTGTGTTCTTGAGGGACATGGACAGTCTGAGGAATCACTATAGAAATGTAACATGAGCAGTAATGTTTAGGAAGCAGCTAGCTGGATTTTAGAGTATGGAGTACAATGCAGTGTTTGTTGTTCTGTAGCCTCAGTTAAAGTAACAGAATTATGAGACTGAGCAGTAATGTTTAGGAAGCAGCTAGCTGGATTTTAGAGTATGGAGTATAATGCAGTGTTTGTTGTTCTGTAGCCTCAGTTAAAGTAACAGAACTATGAGATGGGCTTGCATGTGATAGATAATCTGCATGTTTTTATTGTAAACTTAAGTTTCTTTTGATTTTTCCCTGCAACATTTTGTAAATTATCTTGTGAATGTCTTCAGTTTTTCATCAACACCTTCTACTAGCTTTACAATTTTATTTCGTAGAAGAAAAGTTTACTATTTATGTTCAGTAGTACTGGAAAGCAAAGCAGCTGTCCTATACTAAGCTACACCCCAACATTGAAGTTGTTTTTAATGGAAGACTCCAAGGGTAGAGAGGAAAAAATACAAAACTATACTTAGATTTTTAAAGTTGACTTTATAGTATTTTAGTAATATATAAATGTCTGTATAGTAATCACCATATTTATGGACTACCTTAGTGGAAGCCATTATTCTGCAATTTAAGTTGTGTGCCTTAACTATGTGGTATATATAGATGAGTATGTAATATCTGGATTTAAAGAACTAAGTATGCTTGAAAGAGGATGGGAGGAGAGGAAGTGATGCTGTCTTACTCTCGGGTGTGACTGGAGGTGGAGATGCTGAAGCTGAGGACATAAGTCTAAAGGAGCACAAACCCCAGCCACACCCTGCAGGACCAACGTTAGGACCTGGGATGTCTGTGGGAGCTGTGGGAGCTGGGATGTCTGTGTGAGCTGTGGGAACTGGGATGTCTGTGTGAACTGTGGGAACTGGGATGTCTGTGTGAGCTGTGTGAACTGGGATGTCTGTGGGAACTGTGGGAACTGGGATGTCTGTGGGAACTGGGATGTCTGTGTGAGCTGTGGGAGCTGGGATGTCTGTGTGAGCTGTGGGAACTGGGATGTTTGTGTGAACTGTGGGAACTGGGATGTCGGTGTGAACTATGGGAACTGGGATGTCTGTGTGAGCTGCTGAGGTAGAGGATGTACCACTGTTGGTCTTGAGTACAGTCAGAGTCACAGAACATACCTATCATCCCAGTGCCTGGAGGCCAGCCTGGGCCTCAGAGGTTACTCTGGGTTAGATACCTAGAGAGAATCCAGGTTTCAAAAAGAACAGGGACCACGTGAACTTAGCTTGAGAAGACGAAGTAGAACCATTTTTTGTCTTAAATATATTTACTATATTAAAATTTAGCATGCTTAAAGTAATTTATTATTGCTCAGGTGACTGCCACTGTCCTGTCCTTTTTTGACCCTTAGCCTTGAGCAAACTAGGGGTCACCATTACTCATGAGCTTTTTTCTCTCTTTGCACCCAACCCTCTTAAAGTGACTAACATGTGAGCTGTTGCTGGGGTACAGCTTCTTAGTCGGGGTGCTTTGTCTTGTGGACAGTTACTGTTGGCTCTTCTCAGTCCAAAGATTTATTCTAATGTTCCCTTTGTGATTTGCCTTTTG